GCAGGAATGATGTTCATGCAAAATATATTTGGCATGTGTTAAGTTTAGAAAAAAATACTCTTATGAACTGCGCTAAAACTTGTAACACAAGAGCCAAAACACAAAGGGCAGATTGGATCTCAGATGAGCAGTTTGTCAAGAGGCACCAGTGACCGGTGTGAGAGACGGGGTGCAGGCTGTAAGGGCAGGTGTTTTCATTGTGCCGTGAACCCTGCATTTCCATGGTGAGCAACAGATACTTCCCCAAGTGACTTCCTCCCTTGTAAATACGGAGGGAGTTGTAAAAGGTTCATTAAATGGTATCTTTGGATATTTTAGGGGAACTTAGAGGCAAGGTTGCAGCAGAAGAAGCAACTCTCGCTCCTTTGGACTCCCTCACAATGACTTTGGGACTGAGGGCCTTGAATCCAAATGAGTGGCTGGCTCGGTAGGGTGTTCAAATGTCTCCTCAAGGCCTCCCTAAGAAGGGCAGGTCCACAGTGCTGCCCCTGAAATAGAGTTGCTCTCCCAGGACTTCAAAAGCACCATGTTCATCTTCGATTTTGTGCAGTAATTTTGATCTCAGGTCCTCTTGTACCTGGGGGGGCAACCATGAGCTTAGCAGCCTCCTGATGTGGCCACAGGGTTGTCCTGCTGCTCCAGAAGCTTCTATTTCTGTAATGCACAGATTTATGAGCCAGGTTGTCTCCCTGGGGCCCCAGGTGGCATGTCCACTTCAGGAGACTGAAGATACCATAGCAGAAGGAAATAGGGCTGGGATTTGGAAGACGGGTTGTAAAAGAAAGAGTGGGGGCTGCAGGACCTTGGGGGACACCAAAGCTTTCCATGGGTAATGACACAGCAGGTACATGGTGAAGGGCCTTTTGGCAGGGCAGCCTGTCCGCGGGTTGGGGTAATGATGTCCCCATGGGAGCACATTAGGGGTGGAGCTTTTAGTTAGGTTTCCTCTAAAAAATCCCAAGTTTCTGTCCTCAAAACTCCCCTGCAAGCTGAACTAAATCCTTCTGTAGACACAGCCTGACAGATGTAGTCAGGCTGGAGGTGGCCAAGGCTGGAGGGCAAATCCTTGATCCTCACAGCGCTTTCCCCTTCCCTCCGCCTTCCCCTCACTGTTTCTGTGGCACCGCCGGAGCAAAGGTTGCTCAGCGATGAGCGCCCATGGAGGCAGCTCTCCTTGCACTTTGCAGCTACTTTAACTTTTGTCCTGAAATAACAGTTTTAAACATCGTGAGCTGAACTCTTCCCTGGAGTCATGCTAGGGAGGAGTTTGGCTCCGTGATCCTACTGATACAGACATACTGTCCATAGCTCGCTGTTTCATCAGGAGCGAAACTGCCCTTAACAGACCAATCTGCCTTCGGGACTCATGGCACTCACAGAAGTATTAAAAATAGCTGTTCTCTCTGCATAAACAACTACTGGTATCTTAAAGCAAGGACAGAGATCACGCCACACTGTTATAATTAAAGTAACGTAGCTTTTACATGGTGCAAGCATTCAGTATCCTCAGTTTTTCCCCAGCCATGCTACTATTCTTTATAGTTCTAAAATTAAAAATAATTTCAGGAACTTTCAGGTACTTTGCCATCATAGACAACGCCAGCTGCCAGGCAGCCAGCTACCCACAGTGAAAGGACAGGTCAATAAATAGTCTTTAACTGAAGACATCCATCTGCTTTGTGGCACAATTAATTCTGATTTAATTCAGGCGTTTGTGAGTATTTGGTTTCTGAAACCCAATGCCATTTTTATTGTGGGACATTTATGTAGTGTCCTCATCAGTATTGCTTTGTAAAACTAATGCTGCCCAGATAGAATTGACCACATTGATGCATTAACCTCTTTGCACTGAATAACACGTGTCCTTCTCAGCCTGGCTGGACGTATACCGCAGCCTGACATGTCAGTTCATTTGAATTAATGTTCTGTGCAAATCACATGCTTGCTTGAGCAGCAATAAAAGGGGGTTAAGCAAATCTGGCTTTGTATCAGGAGACTTACCTCTTGGCATCACATGCTTCAGGTCTTATTTCTGAAGATTTTATTTTAAAGTCCAAAACCTTCAAGGCTTACACACGTGTTAATACATAAGGGATAAGTGTTATGGGGTAATTATAGTTGAACAAACCCGCTGATTGTCTGGTGCTGGCCAAGTGTTTATAAATATTTGGTAATCAGCAGACTTTCTTCGTCCAAATCCCAAGAAAGACCATCACATGCTAATGGCATGTAATCCCAAAGGGAGCAACACAAAAACTAAACAAAATCTAGGGCAGCTGTCTCTGCCTTTGGGGGCAAACTTGAGAGTTTTAAAAATTGTTTTGTATTCTCCTTTTGGTATATTCTGTCTTCTGGTACAACTGCTTCAGTGTTAGCTATTCTTGTCCATGCAACATAAAAAGGTGCTTCACCTTCCCTGATAGAAAGGTCCTGTCTGCATTCAGTTGATTAACAAGCTGGAATATCCTTCAAGAATTGCATAACTCTCCTCATTTTATTTTTGTTTATGCTCTAGAGCCAGTTACAGCTCCTATTACATTTCCATATTGCACATCATTAGAACTTACTCGTGTATGAACAAGGTTCAAGAACTCATGTTTACACCAAACTCGGCCCCAGCCTGTTGTCCCATTGATTATATATGAGTGACAGTTAATGACAGGATCAAGGCTATAAATTAGAATCAGTAACAACTTCATGCATAAATGGCATGAAGTTAGTTGAGTGGGCTTGGCTGAATCTAAGCAGCAGTGGGTTGTGTAACAAAACTGAAGAGCTGGCATCATAGCCTGGCTCGTGCTCCTTCCTGAGCTTGAATTTGCAGGATATCGCACATCCAGGTTGAGTGCTTCTGCTGCAAAACTACATTGAGTTAGATTTCATGAAACAATTTTAATGCTGAGGCTCCGCTGGTAATTCTGAGTGGATTCCTTGAGGTTGTTGCTCGTTTGTGAGATGAGATAACCCGGGACAGAGAAGGCCAGCACATCACTTACTGCGCTTGCTGCCCCACCAAAAGTAATGTCTCTGGCTCTCAGTAACCCACTGGGTTGCCCTCCAGAAAAGCTTGAAAGGGTTGCTGGGGCAAACTGGGTGAGATGACCATTTGCTTTTAGTTCCCTAACAAAAAGCACAGAAGCCTTAGCTGAACGCATTAATAGTGCTCCCTACTCCAAACCACATTTACAGTTCATTATTCATGGCTTCCTGAGAGCTAGCTCTATAGGTTGCCTTTTTAATATGAACTGCCCCTTAGATTGGAAAATTGCCATTTATTTTTAAAAAAGCCACAGAAGGTTGCAGCTGAATTTTGTCGTCTTATAAATGTATTTTATTTTTTTGTATACGCACAGCAGGTTTTTCCCTGGTTTCTTTAGGCTCAGGTGAACCCGGACTGCAACTTTATGCCAAATATTCATTACCGAGGGGTTTCTTGTAACTGCTGAATAGCTGTGCTGATTAGGGCAGACTTACCCTGTCTGGTGCCATTAGTCCTTTTCCATAACAAAATACACACGCGTTCAGAGAGAATAAAGCATTTGGTGTGAGAACACATTCACACAGGTAATCCGAGTGAATTTGGCAAACAGAGACACAAAACAGATGGATGAGGGTTTGAGTCCTATTAAACTGGTCAATCCAGGTTTTTTTTTTCCAAAAACTAATTGCAAATTTTCCATCGGTGACTTCATTTGCTATTATTTCCTTGGTAGTAGCAAAAAAAAAAAAAAAAGAGGAAGTTTAATTAATTCAGGGAAAAACAAACCACAGTGGTTTGTCTTGTACTGGATCTGCACGCAAAGCTGTGCACGCCACACTTGTGGGACAGACCCCGGTACGGCACCCCAGGCTGCTGCGGTCTCAGCTTGCCGTGACTTAGGCAAAGGAACGCGGCTGATTTTTGTAGTTGTCTGAAAATAAAATTTAATTAACAGTTTGTTAGGTAGCAAAGTCATTTCTCTAGTCTCAGAGCAAGGCATTTCTGCTGTGATTGAGGTCAAAATTCTCCTCAACTTAGAAAAACCTTGCAGAAACTCTTCAGAGTTTAGTAGAGGAGTTTTAGCTAAGTGAACAGTAAGAAACAGTTTGTTCTTTCACACGTATTTGACAAATGAAGTAAGTATCAGGTATGACGAGGTCTTTCCAACGTGTGAGGACAGTGTATGTTGCACGAAAGTAAAAAAGAATAGTTTTCATCAGTATCTAACAATGACCCATGGCAATTACCAAAAGAGAGAAGACTTAATGAATTTTTCCCCTCAGGACCAGAGTATTTTGATGGTCGCATGTTGCTCCCTTAAGACCCAGCTTATGGGAGGAATCTCTTGTTTTATTTATTAACCTAAGTGACAGAATAAAGTTTACCAAATACCTGGAGTTAGCTAAACATGACCCTGGTGGTGGTGGTGCTGAGGGCAGGCAGTGGCGCGTCCAGGCAGTGTTTGTGTGAGGGGGGCTCCAGAGGGAGAACGCATAACGGCTCCAGCCTTTCTCCAGCAAAGCCACGCAGCATGGTGGTTTCCTGCGTTGCCTTTTCCCTTTCCTCCTTGCAGCAGTCTTGCTAATGAACTGAAAAGGAGGAGAAACACATGGATGCAGGCCAGTTGCAAGTGTCCAGGATGGAGACGTTCAAAGCCAGGGTTTGTGGCAGTGCCAGGGCAAGCTGGTCTTGTGTCTTCAAGGGAGCAAAAAGCCGCAGTGCTTTGAGCATACTTCCTTATCTCGTACTCAGGTGGTCATGGGCTGCTAAAAAGAGCTTAAAATGAAATGCTGAGCAATATACTGAACAGAGGAGTCCCACAAACCTAGGGAAGGTGTAGGGCTGCAGAGCTCAGCTTTGCTCACATAAGCCATGCTGACTTCTCAAGCAGTGTTCAAAGGAAGGGGATCTGCCCATGCATCTGCTGCCCTCCACACCACCGCATACTCTCAGACATCACAACCAGACCCTGCATCAACTGAGCTCCTGCATTTCTCTCTTTTTTTGTTTCCTTTCAAATATTCAGGCGGAATGTACTGAGCTTGTCATCAGGAATTGAAGACATTGGTATTATCAAGTGGGATCTAGCACTGTGTCTTCTCCTCGTCTGGGTGATATGTTTCTTCTGCATATGGAAAGGAGTCAAATCCACTGGGAAAGTAAGTGGTCTTTTACCCTTTTTTTTGCAGTTAGCAGATGTTAGGAATACTAAATAATGCTGTTCTTAACGCTATTCACCATTTCCTTGATAAATATGTATTTTTGCACTGAATAAAAGAGGGACTCAGATCCAGCTGACTTCAGGAAGTCATTGCCAGTGCCCAAAATGCCTGTGAGTCAAGTAGCCATTACTGGAATGGCATCAAGATGGGGATACAAGCACGGTTCGAGTACCACTTTGCCTCTCTGAGGACGAGCGTCCCACTGATGCATGTCATGAACATGGAAGGTCTTAGGCTTGTGATATGTGATGCTGTGCACTCCCTGTCCGTGCTCTCACGCCAGCCAAGTTCACCCTCAGTGCAGCGGGGTGGATGTTAACATAGCTGTGGTAGGGATGTTTTAAGTCAGTGGAAACGGCTGGATGCATAGCATTTTTGAAATGCCACTCACTTACAGAAGAGCTCTGTGCAGACATAGGAGACTAAACTCTAGGTATGTTTAGAAGCACTCTCCCTAATGGAGATCCTGGATAGTTTGTGTTTTTAGTCTCATCATGTGCTCTTCAGAATCATGTTTTTCTCTAAAGGATAACAGTTAAATCATTCCTGAACCGCATCCTACTCCAGTGCAAAAAACAAATTAGAGCAAATCTTGGTCAATCACTTAACAGCATGAAGCATGATATTATTGCCCCTTGCATACAGTTACGGGTTTACACCTAGTTTCATGAGAAAAGGCTTTTGAAGCCATTGCATATGTGTGGCTCTTAGCTTTCAAACCTGTGAGTTGAGGCAGCACTTCAGACAAATCTAACAGAGGTCCCAAGATACTAAGGTCCCACACATTTCTTGGCAACCGGGTGGAAGGGAGCGACCCCATTAGTGTCCCACCTGAAAGAAAGGCCAAAATGTGAACCCACCTTTTATCAGCCCCCAGAGAAGTCAGGAAGAGCGAGCAATTGCAAATGCCTCAATTGCAGAAGCAGCATCATTTAGCAGTTTTACCTTGTTACCCACTGCAGAATCAGCCAGGAGACAAAACTCCATAGGAGACCAGACCTCATTAGTTCCACTGTTGACAAAACTACTTGCTTTACTATCGTTTCTGTCTTGCTTTCTGTGATATTTATCATGGAGCCTCATTAAAATCACGCTGGTGCCTTACCCTGGATTCCTGCCAGCTTTGCCCCGAAGAACAGCTTCCACACCTCTAAAGCATACGTTGAGAAAAATGTTTGCTTCTCTGTTCCCTCTGATTGATGTGACCCAATGAGGTGATTGTGTAAGTTTTATAGTAAAGGTGAACACAATAAATCTGCTGCAGTAGCCAAGTGAAAGCTCACATTTCTGCAGTACTTTGGGCCAGCCTGGTGTCTGCTTGGTAAAGGTTATGGTAGCTCTGAGAGATTTCTCCAAGCTGCCTCTTGCAAACCCCTGTGAAGGTAAGAGGTTGAAAACAGGTCTGTTAAAATCAGTTCTCTTAAGAATTTGTATTTTCTGGAAATCCAGCAAGATGATCTCATTTCTAAGACAAGGCAGTTGGTAGGATTTCTCTGCCTCCTCTCCGCCACATCTGAGCTCATGTGGGTGAGGAGCCAAAGCCCAACAAAACCATTGGAAAATCTCTGGTTGACTCCATTAACTTTGGGGTCAAACAAAAGTAAACTGTAAACTCTAATGGAAGACTTGAATTATCTGAGAAGTCTAGTTTACTTTAGTCGATGGTTGTTTATAGCACTTCCCTGCTTTCCAGCGTGTTAATGGCTCTTTGGAGAGAGGAAAGAAAAAAACCCATCGTTTTTAAATCTCATAGTAGCGTATTGGACAAATAGACATGAAATCATCAGGAAGATTAATAGTTGTGCTTATGCTTTGGATAATGTGCTTGATATTAAAAATTCCTTCAGGGTTATGAGAGAATCCTTACCTGCAGTGCAAAGGCCGCTTTGTGAGTGTTGTTTATTTAGTTCCTGCAAATCCAAGAATGTCTTTCCTGTAAAAAAACTTTGGTTTTTCATAGGGCTGGCTTATATTTAAAAAAATTAGAAAACACAGAACCCCCCCCTTTTATCCTTCAAGTTTTGGTGTGTAATATATATTGTCAGTGGAAAATATACAGAAAATTCAAGGAGAGAATTAGAAAGGACGTATATGAAAAGGTTTCCTTTCATTTTATGAAACCAGTCCATCTCCATGAATTATTATGGCAATGCAGGCTTTGAGTTCTGCTCGTTATTCTCAGGGGACACACTTAAGAAGAAAAATGGTACATCCCGGGAGCTTTGCTGTAGTTAAACAAATTCTGGAAAATAAAAATACATTTTAACTCGTGGCAGCAAACTGTAATTACCTGGGGGAATCATCTGACTCCATGAAAAATGCCCTTTCTTGGACAGTAGTGATTCTTGACTGTAACACAATGGTTATATAAAAAATGAGAGAAAGCACTGATGAGCAAAGAAAACAAAATGTTTGAGGTCAAAAAGCGTGGGTCTAAAGATAGAACTGTCCAAATGCAAGCTCAATTAACCCTCGCACTGGAGATTAAAGCAAAGGGCTCTTTCATCAAATGAATGAGAAGATAACAAGAAGAGAAGAAGTAGGCTGTTATTCGAAAAGACTGGGAATAAAGGTTAAAGATAATGAAGACATATTCTCAAAACTGGTTGAATAGAGCCTTAGTTTCCAATAATGATGTTGCTGAATAGGCAGCAAGGGCAAGAATGAAGTTATGGGACTGGAAATTACCAGTGTTGAGGCTGATGCCAACCTGAAGGGCTCCATGCGTTCAAGGCAATGGGAAGGGAGACACAAAAGCATGGACCAAATTACCTTAATCTCCAAAAGAAGGGCCTCGTGAAGTTGCCTGTAAGAGTAGTAGTGAGGCTGCACAGCAAAGTTAGAGGTAGCAGCAGAGTTTGCAAAACAGTTTGCAATTTTTTTATTTCAAATAAAGAATGACGTAATGCTTTAGGCACCCTCACCGAGGGAATCTCTTCAGCTTCCCTGTCAAAGGTTCACTTGTCATGTGAGGAGGGCAAACAGGGCAAAGGCAGAATTTCTAACAGAAGTCATGAGTTGTATAAAATCCTGCGTGTTCTCTGCCTGAGTGATGTGACCACTGTCTGGGGGGCTCTGGAGAGATTAGTGAACCTGCATTGCCTCCAGGCCTAAAGCAGTAAGATGGTAAAGACCATTAAAGTAAAAGTAGACACAGAAAACTCAGGTCAGGTCCTTTTTAGGTGTGAGAGGGCTTTGAAGTTGGATTTCTCTTGATTTTGGAGATGTAGCATTGACTGCCATGGATTAAACATAGCTTTTTTTTTTTCCTTTTTTTTTTTTTTTTATTGCCAGGTAGTGTACATCACTGCCACATTCCCATTCATCATGCTCCTTGTTCTGCTCATCCGTGGTGTGACCCTGCCTGGAGCCGCAGAAGGCATCAAGTTTTATCTTTATCCTGATATCTCACGGTTAGCTGACCCACAGGTACAGAACTGGGAGTGGGGAGCGGGATGATTTCCTATGCAAAGGAGGATGGTGGAGGGTGATGATGGTGATGTAATGGCAATAGATTTTTTTTCCACAGTCTTTAGAGGTCCAAATATAGCATGAACATTAATGCTGGGTTATATTTTCCAGAGATCTGCTTGAGAAGGTCACTGTTATATGCGTTAATGCTTCTTTCCATGTGTGTGTATGCGTGTGTATTTTTTTTTTTGTGTCAAAGGACTCTGAGGCTGTAGACTCTGTCCCGTTATACAATCTCAGCTTTCTTGTTGGTAAGGTAAGGGAGATGCATTTTTTTAATGAGGATAGTCTTTAGTTTCAAAGGAGAGACACGTGAGCTTCACAGATGGAACAGCAAGCGACAACTGTGAGTACCAGTGTCACTAAGCTCCTGCTGCTCAGTAGGAGGAGTTTGGGAAAGAGGTGAATGAAATAATGTAAGAATGAAAACCTGTGCAAGGGTGGAGTAAAATGCTTTCTGAGGTACAGGAACTGCCATTCACTTAGCCCGAAGCTAGGCTTACTCTTTCTGTGTAGGCTGTGATTAGACAAATATTCCTGTCTGTGCTCACAGAGTGCAAATATGTGACACTTGAGCAGACCAGCATCGTTTCGGCCAATAGTGATCACATGAGAAATGCAAGAAAAATGCAATAACCCCCCCCAAAAAACCCCAAGGGATCTTTGAAGATAACAAAATGTTGGTCACAGTGCGAGGGAATAATGTCTGTCTTTGCTATTTCTTTCTTATGAGTATTTGGTTAAAATAAAACTCCAATGGTAGCTAAATAACTGAAGGAGGAAAAGTGTAATTGAAAGAAACGTTGTGGAAATTTGGTTCATTCTCTAGTCTTGCCCTCTTTATCCAAGACACACTCTTCACAGGAGACATTACATTTTATGAATGAATCTTCTTTTATGGGACTCTATAATTTTTATGATCTACTGTTAGCCCAGAGCATCAGCCAGTAATGTAGAAGAGGTTCATGCAAGCTGGCAGGCCCCCTCCCACGGTCTAGGAAAAGCATCATCTCAAGGAGACACCAGTCAGCAAGGTGCTGGGAAGTGATGGTGGGAGGGTGGAGGTAATGGTCTACAGTCTTAATTCGCACTCACTCGGACTCCTTGGTGGTTTTTGCTGGCGTTAGCATACTTGCATTAGCAGAAAAAAGTGAACAGATGGGATTCAGTGGATGCATTTTGATAGCTTGCTACGTATTTACTAACTGTGAGGTTGATAGCATACTGTTATTTCACTCTGTATATGTTTTTTTAATGTAATCAGGAGAAAGAATCATGAGACCAAGATCAGATACGTATCTTATAAAGTGCATTGTGTTTTGCTTGTTTTCCCCCCACCCCTGTGGCTTTTTCTCTTCCATTTGAACAGATACAAAAACAACCAGAAAGCTGGAAAAACAAACAAAGCAAATACACAAACCTGTTTCTCAAGCTTTTCACATCCTCAATTGAGTGGCTCTGTCGGCTGGTTCTAACTGAAATGAGTTACAACAGAAATGAGCAATGTTATAAATACTTCTGCATTTCCTATTGTGCTGAAACACATTTATTGTTGCGCCAACAGGAAGGATCAGCTGAATGACTCAGAAACTAGAAATACTGAGCTTCTCTGGGGAGGGGATACAGGAACTGTTGAAGAGAAAATGTTCTTGTAGGCTCTGACGCTAACAATTTTCTTTC